AGTGGGCCGCCCTAACAGAAGATGGTCGCTCTCCGCTCGTATTAATCGACCGTGGCATCAGAATAAACGCCGAATATTCTAGAGGGTGTATTAAAGCCTTGGGCATGCAAACATTTTGGCCGCAGACCTTGGACATTCCAACAGGACTCAGCACCATCGCACTCAGCACGCGTTCCTCGCTTCATTTCCAGTGTACACTGGCCACCAAAATCTCCGGATACCAATGCGTTGGACTATTGTGTCTGGAGTATTTTGGAAAGCAAGGTTGGCATTAAAAAAAACCAAAGTATTGATCACTTTAAGCAAGTGCATCGCCGGGAATGGGCCAAAATGCCGCAGAGCAACATTCGGGCAACGTGTGACGGTTTCACTGTGCCAAAGGTGACCAATTCGAACAAATCTAAACTTATTTTAAAATTTGATGCTATTTCCGGCATTTTCAGCTTTCATTCAATAAAATTTAAAGAAAATGTACAAATCATGGCTTTTGACTTTGTTGCAGGTCTTTTATCGCACCCTTTATACCCTCTAGCCACATGGCTGAGTGTATAAAAATAAAACATAGAACAAAGAAATGTTTAAACAAAAATGGGCCATAAAACATTTTTAGGGAGATTATTAATAATTTTTAACCCTGAATAGAATCTAAAAGTGCGGAAAGTTCTTATTATTGATATGATACGTTCTTACTTGATTTCAAAAAATCCTCCTCTAATTGAAGGTCTCCAAAATCTCTTCAATCAATAAGGTCATTTTTTATAGAAGCCGGTGAAACTTCTTATCCCTATGTATAAATGGCTATTCCTACAACATACCCCAAAATTATTAATATAATTATTAATGTTATTCGAATTTAAAGAAGTTCCCCTACACACAAGCTCGTGCCTGGCATAAGCTTAACACGTACTTGGTTTTTACTAGTTACAAAATAGCACAAGCTACTCGGAACGTCCCTCACACGAGTCTAAAATAATCATTTTCATAACGACTTGAATGTAAAAGAATGCCAGACACAGACTTAGAACGCCACAGAATTTAAACACCACACACACCTTATCTCTGACAACATGCCACTGCTATCGTGGGAAACATTTCCAAAACCAAGTGAAAAATCAATTGTGTTTGCCTTGGCATTTGTCGAACTCGGAGAAAAAAGGTACTTTCTCACGAACATTTACATCCTTTTTTCGATTGGAAAACAACAACAATTTCTTAAATCAACAATTTCATAGAACAGATGCCTTTTGTTATCGGCAATTTGAAAATTTTTATTTTTCTTCGAGCATTCCCACGCTCAGAGAGAAGGATATGTGAAAATCCTTTGGACAGACAAATTTACACAGACTATTGTCTGTGAGTGCTGGTATTTTTACAAAGACCTGCTTCCTTTTATTTTGGCTGATTCTCATGGCTGACAGTATAAAAGGCGATGGCTCTCAAGGATACAACATCATACTCTTTTGAGCATTCAAACCTTACACATCTCTCACAAACATTCAAAATGTGCGTAGAAATCTCTCAAACTCAACAATACAACAAAATGGATATCACCATCTCCACAAAGAAAACCACCAGCTACAGCATGAAGAAGCTGTTGAAACAAATCTTCAAACAACAAAAATCCCAGAAAGTTGCTGCTGCCGACTCAATGGAATCATTGGAAAATGAACGCAATGCCAGTTTGGAATCGGATTGTGCCTCCATGGAATCCTTTGAAAATGACATCAATGAACAACTCTCAGCCAAGCAATCCTGCGAGGAGGAGGAATTCGCTTACCCCACCACCTCTGTACCAGTTCACTTTGTTCGCACCCAACAGGGTACCTTCTTTTGGACTACCACCAGTGCCTTTGAGCAAATGTCCTGCCAGCAAGATCGTTGGGCCCAGGCCTAGGAAACCAACTGTTTTCGCATGAAAACTCAACAATCAATGTCTTCCATTCAACGAATTATTTAGAAAGCTTTACAAAAAACTGTGATATTTTAAATATAGAACTTAAGAAAACAAAAAATAATGAAAAATTAAAAATACAACAAATTTTTGAACAAAAAATTATATCTTTTGATTTTTTTAAATATATATTTGTGGGTCATTTCGGGTGCTACAAGAAGGTGGTATATCATATGAATTTCATTGAGAGACTAAAATTATGGGGAATTCTGATGGAGGATGTGCTGAACTCTAAAAATCCTTAATAATGAGTTGTACCAGTATATGGGTGGCAATATCAGAACCAGGACCTATATCTACAATTATCTGAAGGGCCATACTCTGCTCTCAGAAACCCGGTTATCTCTATATATAAAAGAGTAGTGAATTAACTGACTTATCTAGAATCAACGCCTAGGCTGAAGCAAGAATCTTGAAATTTTCCAAGAGGTCCAATCTTGGTACTTAGGCATGAGCCTGGGTTTTTCGAAATTCGTACTAAACAGGTATAAAAGGTACTGAAATGCACTAAAATTGTATACAAACGAATATAAACGAAATGAGCCAAAATTCGGAATAAGAGTCTCTAATGGAGTGCAGAATAGATGTACAAAAGTGTTTTTGGAAAATCGAACTTTAAGGTTAGGAAAAGTTCTAAAATGGTACTAAACTTCTAAAATGGTACCATTTGGTACCTGCTACTTTAATATAGAGGTTTGTATGAGGAGCTTTGGATTGCTTTAAGAATTAATACATTTACAAATCTATAAAGTCGGTCCATTTTTTTGAAAGTTCCTATATTAGGATAAATCCAGAATTCAGTCAATCGATTGTAAAATACGGCCAAGACCCTGTCAGTAACTAAACAAGTTAAAGTTACATAACAAGTAAAAAAGTATCAGCCGGTTTAGCCGACAGATGTATACCCTAAACCAATGTTCGAAGGAATAGGCCAACATTGTCCATTCGAATCGGACGTAAATAAATATGATATAAATATTGCGACTAGGCTTGGACTATATTGAGTACTTCCTTCACTTTATATGTCATAATTTTTAGAAAATGTTCGTGAGGTACCAGCTATAGTGGACCGAAGTATTTAATATTCATACTTCATCTAATACAAATAAAAATATTGATATGGGCAAAATTACAAGAAAATCGAACATTAAAATCCAAGTTTATGCGAAACCATTAGTTGCATATTTATCTCAGGTTTCGGATCGAGAGAAATATTTAGATATAGCAAGTTTGTAAAGAATCGCCGACTTATTTCGCAACTTATGACAGATATAAGTATTGGAAATTGTGACTCTTTGTGGGTGAGGTACCAGAAGAAGTTCGCAACAGATCTTGCGCTAACAAAAATATTTGGATGTGTGGAATTTGAAGAGAATTGAATGCTTATCCCACTTTCTTTGAACGTTTTGTTTTCCAAAAATCTTGTGGGGGAGGTACCTGCAGAAATGGTCCGATATCTATCATCTTTATAACAGATCTTGTGTTGATAGAAATATTGAGATGTGCCAAGTCTGAATGGAATCGGATTTTTATTTGGCGTCTTATGAGCTTCATGAATATTCAAAATTTTGGTCCTTTGTAGGGGAGTTACCAGAAGTAGTGGACCGTTATATTTCATCGTCACACCAGACCATGGGTTAATAAAAATATTGTGATGTGTGTAATTTGAAACGAAACGGATACTTATTTCGGATTTTTTGATCGTTTTCGTTATTTAAAACTTTGACCCTTTGTGGGTCATATAGGTACGAGAAGGAATGGCCCGATCTCTACCATATTTATAACATATCTTGTGTTGCTAATAGTATTGAAATGTGCTAAATGGAATCGAATGTTAATTTCGTATTTTATGAGCCTCATGAATATTCAAAATTTTGGCCCTTTGTGGGGAAGTTACCAGAAGTAGTGGACCGTTATATTTCATCGTCACACCAGACCATGGGTTAATTAAAATATTGTGATGTGTCTATTTTGAAGACAATCGGACACTTACATCACACTTTATAAGAGTTATAATTATTCAAAATTTTGACATTTTGTGGGGGAGGTACTTGACGGAGTGACCTGACCTAGCAAATGATGCAAATTTTAGGATTTGCAAAGTTGGAGCAAAATCGGATTATCCTTTCTCTTTCTGTGCAGAAAATTATTTTCTTTGAAAATTTTGACATTTTGTGTGGGAGGTACCAGAAGGAGTGGACCGAAATTGTCCATTTCCGAACTCGATCTAAGTTTGACAATAATATTACGATGTACCATGTTTGGACCAAATCGTTCGCACAAGCCAGACAGACGGACAACGCTAGTTCGAAACCTAGTGTCTAAAAGCGTTATTTCGATGAGGCACATTTTGGCGGTATCAAATGATATATGCCCAGCCATAATGGCTGAGGGTATGAGAAACACTCAAAATCCCAAAATTTTGGAAAGGAAAATATGACTAAAATGTGAAAAATTATTAAACTCGAGTATATGTATATCCCATTCAAAGGGGGTTTGTGGACATACTTAAAAAAGGGGCCAAAAATAATCTTTTGATAACTTATTAAAGAGTTAAAATTGTTGACCAATGCCAAATTTCAAAACGCCAATACACCTTCCTTAAATTTTTAGCTCTATTTTCATAATCTGTTGGATTTTTCCTGTAATTTTGGAAAAATTTATTTTTTTCCACAGTGTAATTTTTTTCCAAATAGGGGTATCAAAAAATCGGCCCCAATCAAACATAATGCTCTCCTTACGAACATTCAATTGAAAATCTTTTCTTTTTCTCTGCCAACAAATCCCCAATCTCGTGCCTATTCAAAGTTCGCTGTGTATTACAAACAAAATCTAGGTCATTTATAAATCGTTTGGCGATAATAGTTATCGGTCAAATAAGGGTTAAGCTTTTGTTTGAAAAAAAAAATGGAGAAATACAAAAGAGATACCAGCGAACTTCCAATAATCTCTGAGAGAAAGGGAGAGAGAGTAAAGCTTGACTCAGTTAAACGATCCCCCTCCAATTCAATGCTTCGTTTTGTTCGATCTGTCGGGTTGGTTGTGGGTTCGTTTGTATAACTGCCCGGCTGGTACTAAAAACGCCAAACACCGGAGCTTACCACAGACCTCGAACCACCATCGAGTGTCAGTTAAGCACGGCCAGTCGACGAGTTCAAACAAATAGAGCGGTAACTTAAGTTTACAACGAGAGATTCGATAACGAAAAAGGTTCGCAAAAGAGACCATTATTATTGTTGGTGATTAATGTTGTTGTTATTCGAAAGAAGCAATCACTGTTTTTGAGTTGCTTGTTTCATTTTTTTTTTATTTCTGTAATCGTTAAGTGTGGAAACTGGAAACCCAAAAAGAAAAAAAAATAGAAAAAGAAAAAGAAACATGCCAAATTGTTATCATTGACAGAAATTTCGTGTTTCAAATTAAATATGGAATATTGAAGTGTGTGTGTGTGTGCGTGTGTGACTGTCTGACTATCTGTCTCTATTTTGTGCATCACAATTTGTTTCAATTTTTATTTCACGCTTTTTTTTGCAATTGAACAGTGCTACAAACCAAAAAAAAAAAAATATTGAAGACAAGAAACGAAACGAAAAAAAAAATTGAACTGGGACCGGTTTAGCGGAGGAGCTCCAAACAAGTGCTTATATCATCATACAAAATATCCATCATAAATATTTTTTTTTTATTTTTTGTCTTCGTTGCGTTCAAGTGAACCTCCTCCGGTTGGTATCACACAGAGGCCATATTTTATTTTTTATTTATTTTTTTACTACAAAAAAAGCAAGGCTCAAAAAAACATTTACCAAAGATGAATTAAAAGAAAGAAAACATAAAACGAGTACATTTCGCAATAGTTTTCTTTATTTGGTGTTGGATTTTGTTTTTTTTTTCGAATTTTTATTTTTGACATTTTTGGCAAAGCAAAATAGGTATGTGTGGAACAAAATTTCAAGTAAACTGGTTGCTGTTGGCCTGTCTAAGACAATTAGCTTCGCCGCCTACCCATAACTTAACCAACAACAGCATATCATGTTGTCTGATTTTGTAAAATTAAATGTAATTTAATTGAGGTTATTATATTTAGTTGGCTATGTTGTTATTTGTATATGATTATTATTGTTGTTGTTGTTGTAATTGCAGTTGCAGTGCAATACCATGGTTGTGAAAAACCAGTGTAATCATCGTTCATTCCGAAGAAAACAATATAGAGAGTGGGGAATTATCCAAGTTATAATTAAGTTTTTATCTCGTCTTGTAGCCATAGCTACAGTGAGTGTCGAAAATGAGTTCATATTCCATATACGTAAACGTTTGAATATAAAACAAATTAAAAAGTCTCAGGTTTAGCCGACAGATGTATACCTTCAGACAATGTTCGCTTATTGAAAAATATTTTGACTTGCTTTGTGATTATTCCAAATTTTGACCATTTGTGAGGGAGGTACCAAAAGGGATGGACCGACATATCCCATCTTCACAGCAGATCTTGTGTTAATAGAAATAATAGGATGTGTGAAATATGAAGAAAATCGAATGCTTATATTGGAATTCTTTTTATCGTTTTTGTTATTCAAAGCTTTGACCCTTTGTGGGGGAGGAACCAGACGGAATGGTCTCTAACATATTTTTAACAGATCTTGTTTTGATGGAAATATTGAAATGTACCAACTCTGAATGAAATCGGATGTTAATTTCCCGTTTTATGAGCTTCATGGATACCCAAAATTGTGACCCTTTGTGGGGGAGATACCAGAAGGGGTATACCGATATATCCCATCTTCACAGCAGATTTTGTGTTTGTAGAAATAATGAGTTATATGAAATATAAAGAAATCCTAATGCTTATTTCGGATTTAATAAACGTTTTGGTTATTCAAAACATTGGCCCTTTGTGGGGGAGGTACCAGGAGCAATGGTCGGATCTCTAACATATTTTTAACAGATCTTGCTTTGATGGAAATATTGAGATGTGCCAAGTCTAAATGAAATCGGATGTTACTTTCGCGTTTTCGGAGCTTCATGGATATTCAAAAATTTTGACCCTTTGTGAGGCAGGTACCCGAAGGAGTGGATCGATATATACCATCTTCACCGCAGATCTTATGTTAATAAAAATATTGAAATGTGTGAAATTTGAAGACAATTGGAAACTTACATCACATTTTATAAGAGTTAAATTTATTCAAATTTTTGACGGTTTTGTGGGGGAGGTACCTGAAGAAGTGAACCGATTTATCCCATCTTCACACCAGATTTTGAATTATTAAAAATATTGGGATATGTTTAATATGAAGACAATTGGAATCTTACATCACATTTTAGAAGAGTTAAAATTATTCAAAAATTTGCCCCTTTCTGGGGGAGGTACGTGGTGGAGTGAGCCGATATTGTCCATTTTCACAACGGACCTAGCACTGATGCAAATATTAGGATTCGCAAATTTGTAGCAAAATCGGATTATCCTTTCTCTTTCTGTGCAATAAATTATTTTCTTTAAAATGTTGACATTTTGTGGGGGAGGTACCAGAAGGAGTGGACCGATATATCCCTGATGGTATAAAAATTTCGTGGCTAAATGTGACTAGGATTATCAAAGTAACGAAAATTGGCGGGTACCGTTATAGTTCCTCTATGAGAAAACATGGACCTAGATATTCAAAGGCCTGCCACTGGAGCTAGAACCCATTATGACCTACAAATACCAAATTTTTAAACAAATCCGTGGGAAAATGTGGCAAAAATCATCAAAATACCGAATATCGGGAGTTAACGGTTTATGGTGACTATTCCAAAACATGGACTAGTATACTTCATTTTCAATGCCAACCATCCTAGACACAATACAAATTGTTGCGCCAAATTTTGAAGCTCTACGTCAAATAATGTGGGATGTATCGTGACTTCAACAGACGGACGGATATCGTTAAATCGACTTAGAATTTCAAGTTGGTCATGCTTTTCAAAACAACGTCCTTACATCGACTCTAATCCTCAACCTTTATTCTCATTCCAAATTTTAAGTTTTTAGCTCTAGCGATTTACATGATACGAAATGGTACCAAATGTAGTACATTTTAGTACTTTTCGTACACTAATAGTGCGAATTTCCAGAAACCCATTTGTGCACCTATCATAAACTACATCAGTGAGTGTTTGATTATAATAGTATGGTAGTTCACACATAGTGACGTGTTAGAAAGTATGGTCATTTACACAAAGTGATGTTTTGGAAAGAATGGTCGTTTAAGACGTCTAAGACAATTTAGCAGGGATGTCAACAAATGCCATCCTGTCAGTAACACAGAATAAATTTTTGGAATTTTGTAGTTAATTAAAACAGTATAGTCGTTTGCACAAAGTGGCGTTTTGGAAAGTATGGTCGTTTGCACAAAGTGGCGTTTTGGAAAGTATGGTCGTTTGCACAAACTGGCGTTTTGGAAAGTATGGTCGTATGCACAAAGTGACGTTTCGGAAAGTATGGTCGTTTGCACAAAGTGATGTTTCGGAAAGTATGGTCGTTAACACAAAGTGACGTCTTGGAAAGTATGGTCGTTTACACAAATTGACTTTTTGGAAAGTATGGTCGTTAACCCAAAGTGACGTGTTAAAAAGTATAGTCGTTCACACAAAGTGACGTTTTGCAAAGTATGATCGTAAAGTTATTTCATATGTTATAGGATTAGTTTAAACTTTTTACTTGCTTAAAGTTTTATCGAAGGTATTTAATTATGTACGGTCGCTAACACAAAGTGTCGTGTTGAAACACTGAGAATCTTTGGGTAACAGAGGATCTCGCCATTAACTTTTTTAGACAATATTTTAGGTAAATTACAGATATTATATTATGGATGGTCGTTAACACAAAGTATAGTGCATAAACTCTTCAAAAAAATCTAAGATTGCTTGCCTTTTAGTAACAATAAATATTTTTATTTTAGATGATAGTAAAAGTATGGACGTTCACACAAAGTGTGGCATTACACAAGGATAGATTTTATGTTTCTATTTTATCCGTGCGGCCGTCCGTCTGTCTGTTGTAATCACGCTAGAGTCAAAACGAATTAAGTAAGAAAACTATAATTTTGCTGAGATTAGTATTTTGTACTCCCCGATATTCGGTATTTTGATGATTTTTGTCACTTTTTTCCATGGACTTATCTCACTGTCTACACAAGGAATTCCTTCTGAGCACTTTACCCCCTGGAATAGAATTGCCTATATAGGTCCACTGGAATAGAATTTTCTATAGAGGGAGAGATAAAAAAAATGCAACAAAGTCAAACGTCATAATTTTATTTTTTTTTTAAATTTTATTGAATGAAAGCAAAAAATGTCGGAAATAGCATCAAATGTCAGAATAAGTTTTGATTTGTTCGAATTGGTCACCTTTGGCACGAATTATGGCCTTAAAACGGCCAATGAAACCGTCACACGCTGCCCGAATTAATCACTGCGGTATTTTGGCCCATTCCCGGCGAAGCGTTTACTTGAGGTAATCGTCACTTTGGTATTTCTTAGTGCCAACCTTGCTTTCCAAAATACTCCAGACACAATAGTCCAACGGATTGGTATCCGGAGATTTTGGGGCCATTGTGCGCTGGAAATGAAGCGAGGAATCTCATTTTGTAACCATTCTTGGGTGGTACTGAGTGTGATGGTGCTGAGTCATGTTGGAATGTCCAAGGTCTGCTGTCAACATGTTTGCGTGCCTCTCCAGAATATTTTCGAGATAATATTCGGCCACGATCGATTAATACAAGCGGAGAACGACCATCGGCTGTGATGGCGGCCAACACATTGACCGTGACCGGCGTTTGAGTTCCGGTGGCTAACCGAAGGTGCACATTTTCAGCTGACCTCTTTGGCAAGTAAACACAATCATTTTGTTTGTTTACAAACTGCTGGACAACGAATGGTTTCTCATCGGAGAAATCCAAATTCGGCAGATCACCACTTTCGGCCAAGCGAAGCAACTCTTTAGCTCTTTTGAGTATATTTTCGTTCTGCTGCTGTGTAAGTTCTTGCACTTTTTGGAATTTCAATGGCTTTATCCCGAGCTAATTTTTCAATATTTGCTGATTGGAATATTGGGATATGTTCAGCTCACGAGCGATTTTTCGGCCACTGCGACGCGAAATCACAGTATCATGTTTGAATTTCCATTTTGAAGTTCATAATGGTTGTTTCAACTTATGACGGCAAATTTGCTA